AGTTCAATTCAGGCCAGAAAAAGCAAGAGCAAAAGCAATGGGATAGTTGACTCAGGAAACATCTCACTTTAAGCATGGAATTTTTAGCTACTACAACTGGAGAGGTGGTGAACCCTTACATATGTTAGGAAGCAGCCACACCCACCAACTTGGAATGTTAACGCACATCAAATCAGAACTAGACAGCGAATGTGGGGATCTGGCCAGAGGAAACCAATATGCAGCTACAGTGTAGGGAGCTAACACCAGTGTCAAGGTATGAACACTGGTCTGTCTCACTCACAGAAGGTTCTTGTACCCAGTCTACTCCAATGCCACTTGCTAACTGTGAAAGACTAGCTCTGACTGGTAATTTTTCCTTTCTAAGCCCAGTTTCCCTCATCTGTCCCATATCTCATTGCTTGCTATGTAGTTATGAGGATTATGGGAGATGAAGTAGCTGTTTCTCCTGGAAAATGTATAATATTAGGAAGATTGGTAGAGACTCTAGCACTGAGACAATTCTGGCACCTACACCCATGTGTAATTCAAAGTAAAAATGATACCAAAGTGTAACATCCATGCAATGAAGCTCAATAAACTTCTGCCTTTCCCCTGATGAGTACTTCAGACTAATTTTTTGAAATGTCAAACATTGATTTACTTATTTTATTAGTCATAAATGCATATAGTTTAGAAAGTCAACTAGTTCTACAATATTGACACAAATAGTAGCCCCAGACCCCTGCCTTGCTCTCCCCCAATTCTTCTCCCCTAGAAGGAATCACTTTCCAATTTTTTATTCATTTTTAAAAATGTATCTCCATTTCTTTGTATAACGTGTGAATATTACTTCTCAGGTTTTCTATTTAGTATTAGTTTCTATTGACTACTCACCATGGAAGATGAAGGTTTAACTCTCATTCCCACCACCAGGTCACCACGCACTCTCCTATCCTCTCCTTCCTCCAAATTTAATTATATTGTAACTTTTGTTATGTGACAACCAGACACTCCAAAGGGACCACCAATAAGTCTCTCACCTCCTTGTATTTATGCCCCCATGTGATGCCATTTCACTTTAATGAGGGCTGACCTGTGTAATCAGTAAAATGTCCAAATATTTAATAAAGACAAGATTCAACCCTGCACTTAGATGACTTAGCCTCACTCACCTCACCTTAAGCCCTGCTGGTTATATCCTGTTTTTAACATCTTCATATTTTGTTTACCATGGATTTTTTGCCTTAATTCCATTTTTTAAAGTATACATTAAAATATTCTTTATATTGATTACCAGGGTTATTTTTTTGGATGATGATGATTAAATTGTACACCCAAAGCAAGCACCTAACTCACTTTATCTTAGTCATGGCCCTAACAATTCCTAGCAGCTTCTTGAGAAAAGGTGAAAATTTACCTTCTTGAGAAGGTAAATTTTTGACACCTTGCATATCTGAATAGGTCTACTTCTACATTAGCACTGGATTCATAGTTTGGCTGGGTACAGAATTCTAGTTGGAATTTTTTTCCCAATTTTGGATCTTGTGAGATCCAAAATTATTTGACTTCTGATCCTTTGCTTTGCTTAATGACCAGTATACCTTTGTAGTCAATTTTGAAGTTCTGTTGGTTATACAGGTCAGCTCTATTCAAAGTGGGTGGGGTACTTTAACAATAGAAATCTAAAAGCTGATTGGAAGTTCTGAGGAGTGAATGGAGCTTGTCAACTTGGAGTTTCATTATAGGGTGATCTGGTTAGACTGTTTGTTGGGCAACTCCAGATCTATAGACCTTTAGTTCTTTCCTCTCAGACTGGTCAGATCTCCTAGGGAAAAGTTTTTCAATTTCCTGTGTAGAGAATAAATGCCTTGGTTCCAGCATTTGGGGAGCAGTGGGAGAAGTTGACTGAGCAGTGGGGTTGGCTGACGAGGCATTTTAGTGCAGAAGTACACTTAAGCTTGTAGTTGGTTTATGGCATCCCTGCTCTCAACTATGCCTGCAGCGCCCTCTATTTTACCTTCTTCAGACAGGAGATCATGACTTGTCTATTTGTTGAAAGAAGCAGTAGAGAGTTAAGGCAAGGACCTTGAAATCTACCTTCTTCTCAAAAGCTTTTAAATTTTTCTTTCACTTCCATTTCCAGAAATACCTTGGACCACCAATTCCTAGGCCTCTTGAAGTATCTATCATTTCATCATGGTGGTTACTCACTCAAACTGCCCATTCCCCTTATCCTGTAGTGTTAGGATTCTGTTTACATGGGACTACTAAGAAAGTAGTCACCTGTCCATCTATTTTTCAGTTTCAAAATTTTGTCATCTCTTCTTTTTCTCTCAGTCTCTGAGGATTTATACCTCTAAAGAAAGAGCCCCTTTAGGCCAGGCGTGGTGCTCACACCTGTAATCTTAGCACTTTGGGAGGATGAGGCAGGTGGATCACCTGAGGTCAGGAGTTCTAGACCACCCTGGCCAATATGGTGAAACCCTGTCTCTACTAAAAATTCAAAAATTAGCCAGGCTTGGTGGCACACACCTATAATCCCAGCTACTCAGGAGTCTGAGGCAGGACAATTGCTTGAATCTGGGAGATGGAGGTTGTGGTGAGCTGAGATCATGCCACTGCACTCCAGCCTGGGAGACAGAGCAAGACTCCCTCTTAAAAAAAAAATATTTCTATAAACAGAGCATGGGCAAAAAGGATACTCCCACAAATGGTACTGAATCTTGCCTGCTGGGTCCTTGCCTTTTCAGGCTGCCTTCCAGCAAGTGTCTTAAGCATAGGGCCCGAAGGACTGAAGGAAAGACCTACACAAGACAGAGCAAAAGAAGGTATAAAGATGTGATGCATGCCCAAGGAAGGCAGTTGCAGTTCAGTGTAAGATCCCAAGACACGTGACACACAAAACTTTGGGTTCCTGTGGATACTGACCTATAGATCGCCTTTCCTTGGCAAGTCCCAAGGAAGTCAAGGATGTGCCTTCCCAGGCCACACCCCTGGAGCGGCCATCCACATGCTGAAGCCTGCATGTTGCTGAGAGCTTTCACTTCCAGCGCCTGACTGTGAGAATCTCGATGCATGGAAATGGCTGAGGCCAGCATCAGCTAAGAGGTGGAAAGAGGCCGACACACAGTACTGTGTCAGGCTGAAATGGACATTCAGGACAAGGAAAGAGGGAGGGATAAGTGCAAAGAAGGGTGGCTGGGCTAGGAGGAGGAAGGCCTGGGGGAACACCTGTCAGGTGAATGGGACCCAGGAGGGGTAATGAGAGGAAGGGGCCCAGGGTGAGGGGAATGGGCAGTTTGAGTGAGTAATCAAGAGGAAAGGCATGGTGTTGCTGCCGAACCCAGAAGCAGCAGGCTGCCTAGGTAAGGCTTGATTCTAACATGCATTGATGATAATGTAGGGCTCCCAGAATAGTTATGTTATAAAAGACTGGGTCCTGTTAGTAAACGCTCTCTCTCCATTGCTAGCTTTGAAGAAGGAAGCTGTCATAAAGTAAGTGGCCATATTGGAGCAGCCCACATGGCAAGGAACTTAGGGCAGCTTCTAGCAAGAAATTAAAGCTACAGACTCAAGAAACCATATTGTCAGAGACATAGGAACCAGACCAGCTCCATCTTGAATAGGAGCTGGGTAAAATAAGACTGAGACCTACTGGACCGCTCTGTCTATGGAGTCGCCATTCATTTATTCTTCTACTTTCTTAATAAACTTGCTTTCACTTTACTCTACGGACTCGCCCTGAATTGTTTCTTATGCGAGACCCAAGAATCCTCTCTTGGGGTCTGGATCAGGACCCCTCTCCTGTAACACCATGAATTCCAGCAAATACAAAAGAAATACACACATAGAGCCATCATAGTGAAAATGAAGACAATCAAAGGAAAAGAGAAAAGCTTAAAAGCTGCTAGGGGAAAACATAAATTATGTTTAAAGAGAGGTATATAATATGTGAGAGGCACTTAATAAATATGTGTTAAGGGAATAAATAATCACGCTGCATTTGGGAGCTTTTCTGCTTACTCTCCCTGTAACTTGTATCATTTGACCTCTTTGAAACTATCTCCTAATCTGCAAAATGCAATAACAATACCTACTTTATGAAGACAATTGTGAGGATTAAATTTGTATTGAGTTTTATACAAAGCACCTAACAGTTTCTACTATAATTTAGGTACAATTGATCTATGCAGATTCCTTCCCTAACAGATTTTTGATTTGTGCAAACTTACTCTCCAGTCTAGGTCTCTGGGCCAGGTTTCTTCTCAGTTCCAGTCATCTTGAAATACCTACATATCTACCACATATTTCCCTCCAGTATAAAGGGCAAGAAGCTTCAGCAAGAGCAGTCCTATTGCAATAATACCTGCCCAGCCACAGCATGGAAAAAAAGTCAATGAACAAATACCTAGCTTAGGGCACACCTGATAATTCCCTGACTTAAAATGTACTCAGCAGTACTTTCAAAATTTTTATTACGGTAAGAATTAACTGAGGGACTTGTTAGGAATACACTTTTTGATCCTCTTCTCTGAAGAATCTCATTCTTTAGGTTCAGGGAAAAACCTAGGAATCTGACTTTTTGACAAACATCCAAGTATTTGGAATATTAGGAATATGGCTAGGAGGTGAGGATTACAAAGTTGGTCACACTGCTGATCAACTTGAGTGAACAAATATTTCCCACTATAGGAAAGGAGAGGAGAAACTGCAGGCAAGGGGCTGCATCTGCGAAGATGAATGTAACATGCTCCATGCCTAGATAGGTTCACTCACTTTTGGAAGACACAGATGTACAGGAAATAAAATTTCAGTGCAAGCCAACTATGCTCTCCTTGAATGACCAATAATGGGCAAAATAGAGATTTTCACTGTGGGGGTCTGAGAAAGCTTTGTGGAGGAAGCACCTTCTGAGCTAGGCTGTTCTCTACACCTCTAAAATTCTTTTCAGGTGACTATGAAAACAGAGTCAAATTCCAGGAATGAAAAGTAGTCTTCAGCAAAGGAAGAAAGGTAGAAAATGCCAGAGCTGGTTTGAGTAAAAACAAGAAAGTTGAGCCATTTCTTCCATACCTGAAGAGAAAATGTTATGCTAAGCAGATGGGGAGGTAGAAAAGGGCCAGGTGGAAATGAGTGTTTGAAAATCTATTGGCCGGGCGCGGTGGCTCAAGCCTGTAATCCCAGCACTTTGGGAGGCCGAGGCGGGTGGATCACGAGGTCAAGAGATCGAGACCATCCTGGTCAACATGGTGAAACCCCGTCTCTACTAAAAAAAATACAAAAAATTAGCTGGGCATGGTGGCACGTGCCTGTAATCCCAGCTACTCAGGAGGCTGAGGCAGGAGAATTGCCTGAACCCAGGAGGCGGAGGTTGCGGTGAGCCGAGATCGCGCCATTGCACTCCAGCCTGGGTAACAAGAGTGAAACTCCGCCTCAAAAAAAAAAAAAAAAGAAAAAGAAAATCTGTTGCAGAGGTCTGACCAAATTAGGGGAGAGAATGGGTGGGTGAGAAGAGAACCTGGACGCTGAAAAATCTAGTGAGACCAGGAGCTCCTGAGACAGGCAAAGCCCAAGGTCAGTTCCTGCCTCGGGAGCCCCAGTCCTCACACTTTCAAGGGTCACTTTCTGACTCTGTAACTGACCAGCAAATTCTGAGACTTTAGCTTCAAAATGTCAAAACCCTCTGCTAATTGACTCCAGTAATAGGGACCCTGTAAGTCCCCTCCTGAAACGTGGAACATTTCTCTGCCTGCTCTAACCCCCTGCCTACTGGTACGGCATCTTCCATCTGTTCAAAGTCCTGTTTGTTCTGTGAAAGGAAAAAGGAAAATGGGAGGCAGGTTTGCCCAAAGCAGTTCCCAGCTTGACTTTTCCCTTTGGCTTAGTGATTTGGGGTCCCGAGACTTATTTTCCTTTCACAATTACTACATCAGAAATGATTTCTCTCTTTTCATTAGCAATTTCTTCTTTTCTCCTCCTCTTCATTTGACTAACTTATTATACTTCTTTGTCAGGTCTCTGTTTAAATATTTCTTACTCCAAGAAACCTTTCCTACTCCTTTAGTCTAAACTGTCTGTTACGCCCTTTTAATTTCTATCATCGCATGTACAAATATTTAAGATTACATGCTATTTTTGTTTGTGGCTCTCTCCTTTCACACAATAAGCTCTGAGACCTATCTATGTCCTTCACCACCCTTTACTCGGTACCTAGCCCAGAGCTCACTCTCACCGTTAATATTTGTTTTAAAGAGAGATGGAGGCGGGGATTGTGACCTTAACAACTCTTAGCCCACGGCCTTGGCATACCCCTTATTCTGGAACCCCTGAATTCTCAAGAGTCTCTTGCCTGTCCTGTCTTCTTCTCTAGAGTGTGTGTCTGCATTCAAATCCTGGTGTTAATGTTCATTAGCTGTGTTACACAGGATAAATGGTCTATATTGTTTAAATTTCAGTTTTCTGAGAATGGTAGCAGTTACCTCATAGGGCTATTAGGAGGATTATGAGAAAATCCAAGTGAAACATCTAACAGAGTACCTAGAAAATTATCGATAAAGATTACCTGCCATTATTATCGTTGGTAATAACTGGCAATCTCTAAGATTCAAGCTATTGGGTTTTTTTCCACAAGAAAGTTCTCATTATATATATAAATCTGTGTGTGTGTGTGTGTGTGTGTGTATAATATATATAGGTATATGTACCTATGTATATAAAGAGTTCTTATAAATCAATAAGAAAATACAAGTACAATAGGAAAATGAGCAAACATTATAAACATGTAAATTCACAGAAAGAAATATGTTTAAAAATTGTAATATTATTATCAGAGTAAAAAGGAGAGAAGTATAGTCTGACTCTCAATACTCCCATAACTTTCCTCCTACAGTTCCTCCCACTAGTGTTGGAGAAGAAAGAAAAACAGAAAGGCAGCGTCCCCTTCCTCTGCAGGTGATGCTGTGCTCCCTTCTCTGTGGGTGATTACTGTTTCTCTGACTAACACAGACTGGCATGATAGCTTCTGTGAGGCAGGTGTCCAGATGCTGGCACCTCTGGAGCATATATGTGGTTATTCGGAGGTCATGTATTTGTCTAATTCTTCTCATACCCCCTTATGTTACCCCCCACCAGAAATGCATTTGTAGGAATCCACAGTGATGTATGCTTTCTGTGAGATCCCTTGTATGCACTCCCTTGTATGCAGTCTCAGTGAGATCTCTGTTCTATTCCTTGGAGTACTTCAACTGCCCCAGGACACTGCAGTTTCTACCACCACCAGGGTCTCACTACTCTAGAGCTGCAAAACTTTCCTCCAAATGCAGAGGGAACACCCCTCCTCCCCAGAAAGCTATGCCACAGAGATTCAAGATAAATAATGTGGTGTAGTTATTATAAGGGAATTTTGCAATAGACTCCTCCAAGGAGATTTGGTTGCTGAAGAATCTAAAGGTCCTCCCCTGAAAGTAGCCCCAGAGCATGACCCTGGGGAGAGCACTGGGGCTTACATTGCTCAGTTCCAACTTCATTCCCTCTTTTTTTTTTTTAATCTTTCCCCAATTTTTTTCCTTCTTTAAAAAACGATTTAGCAGGTGATCCCCTGGGGAGTTGTTAGACATGAAGACTCTCAAGCTCATCCCAGACCTTCTAAATCAGAACCTGTGCTTTAACAACACCCCCAGATTATTCCCGTACAGATTATGGTCTGAAAAGTACAGATATATAGGACAGAATTTTTGGATTCTCCCACCCCAGTTATTCATATTTAAGTTCATTTCTAGCCCCACAGCTCCATTTTCCCTCCTTTGGCCTATGCTCTTCACTGCCAGCAAGCACTTTTTGGCTAATGAGTTAGCCTACAGGGTCTACCACAGTAGTGCTGCAAGGATTCCACTTAGGCAGCTTTACATCTGTTCATTTTGAAGCAATGTTGACATCATCTCCACCAGTAACTCCATGATACCCTCTTCTTCAGATGTGTTTTAAGATATTTCAATACTTTATAAAGAAGGAATTGATTATAATGCGCCTACTTGTTAGCAAATGCACACAAACATTCACTGTGCTTAGAAATAAAGAGTACCGCTTACGCTGAAATTGTACGTGCACATGGTCCTTAAAGATAATTTTCTCTTCAGCTCATACCTTGTATCAGAGATTGCTAAGGATAGTACCACTCTCAGCAGAGAGGTGGAAAAGGGCTCTAGCTGGTGTCTACCTGTCACTCTGTAAGTACAAAGCCTCTAGAATTCATTCAGGGTTCTTTAGCATGCTTCCTAGGATGAAAGTCTCAGAAAATACAAACACCTGCCTTGTAAGGTTTTAGAATTCATTCCATCTTCTGTCTAATTTGCTTTCTCTACTGTTTTAACCTGCTGAATGAGCCAACGATAGGGTTTTTTTTTTTTTCTCCTCTAACAAGCCCTTATCTCCAGAACTTTCTGTCTGATATATCCCATGATATATTAAAAATCTGAAGCAACGCCTATAATCCCAGCACTTTGAGAGGCCAAGGTAGGCGGACCACTTGAGGTCAGGAATTCAAAACCAGCCTGGCCAATATGGTGAAACCCATCTCTACTAAAAATACAAAAATTAGCCAGGTGTAGTGGCACACACTTGTAATCCCAGCTACTCAGGATGTTGAGGTGAGAGAATTGCTTGAACCCGGGAGGCGGTTGTTGCAGTGAGCCGAGATTATGCCATTGCACTCCAGCCTGGGAGACAGAGCAAGACTCTTATCTCAAAAAGAAAAAAAAAATTGAAGCCAATGCTAGAAAACTCTAGTCAGAAAGTTATTTTCCAGCTTGTTTTGTCCTTCATAAATTTCTCAGAGACTGCAGGGTATTTTTCTGATTCAAATATCCTCAGGATAAAAATTTCTCAAGTCCTGTTGAATTACACAAGAGATATAGTAGTTTTCTCACTAGAGGTTAGGAAAGAGAGACTGTCTTCTTTGGAGCAAACTTGTATAGCCATTATGTTAAAAGGGTAGTGCTAGGGTTTTAATGTGGCTCCCAAAAGCACATGATAGAAACTTAATCACCATTGTAATAGATTAAGGGGTGGGATCTTCAAGAGGTGATTAGGCCATAAAAGTTCTTCTCTTCTAAGTGTGTTAATGCTGTTGCTGCAGGAGTGGGTTCCTTAGTTGGCCCTCATTTGCTCTCTCTATCACATTGTCTTTGCCCTTCCAACATGGGTTAACACAGCAAGAAGGCCCTCACCAGAAGCTGGCCCCTTGATGTTGGACTTTCCAGCCTCCCAAACTCCGAACTGATAAATTTCTCTTCATTATAATTTACCCATTTTGTGGTATTCTGTTACAGCAGTACCAAAAAAACGACTAAGACAGGTGGCATTTGATAGGATGCAAAAGGCAACTTTATTTTTTAACCTGCTTCCTCTGCTCAGGGGCTAGTTTCTTCCTTGCCCCTTAATAAAACCTCACGTGGGTGGTTTCCTGTGGCTTCTCCAGAAATAGTTCTCTAGTCATTTTTAGCCATAAGACAGTCTCATTTCAGTTGCCGAAAAAGTCCAGTCTCATATATAATGGTTAAAACTCTGAACTTTAAGGCAATTTTTTCTTCTTTCTCTCTTTCCCCAGCCCCGGCTGATTCAGGCTGGAAGCTGAATTTACTCAGAGGTTCACTTAGGAACCCTGAAATGAGGAGAGGGAGGCAGAGCAGAGCGTAAGCACTGGCACAGCTAGCTTCTTCGTTTTCCAACCTAATGCTTCTACGTCTCCCCCACTCTCTCTAGGGTATGGATCCCACAGGGTTTGGGATAGAGGTGGGAGAAGGAAAGAGCGAGAAAGGAGAAAAGGCCTTCGTTTAGGGGAACAGTAGTACTTGGTGGTAGTGTTCCATGATCTTTGTGGATGCTTAGTATGAACTCCTCACATAGGCACTTACGTGGGGCCCTCCCTTGCAGAGGGCTCCACTGAACACATTGGGCTGTAACAGCTCCCCCTGCTGGCCACATACTCCATAGGCTTCTGCATTTGATTGTAACGCCCTGCAGCCTAACACCCTTTAGGAGGAAACCTACTTACTAAAGTGGGATCTCCTGGAAAATGATCTCCATGTTTATTCTTTCCCTTTCCCTATCTCATAAAGATCAGGAATGACATTTCATTAATTTCCTACAGTTAGACTCCAAACTTGCCCAGGAACACAAGGGGGCAACCTTTGCACCATAATTCACCTTTTTTCTTGTTATTCCTTATTTTTCACTGGTACAAATAACCACTGTAACTGGCAATATTTTCTTCCTGTTTAAATTATTTCTTTCTTTCTTTCTGTCCTTTCTTTTTTCTTTCCTTTTATCCCTTTCTTTCTTTTGACTGCTTTAATTTCTCTATTCTGAGACTGAATCACAGTCTCACATTCTTGTTGGTAACCTAAAGTTTCTTCTAAAGATTTGACAAGAAGATTTCCTTAAAGTGGGCAAATATTTCTTAAACAGAACCTAAAACCAGTAATCAGTCATATGTTGGCTCATACCTAGAAATCAGAGTAGAGGTCAAGAGTGGCTCAGATTCAAAATTCTTATGTCTTGAAAACTGATGTGGTGGTTTACAGGTCCTTCTGTTTGTGCTTCATATTCTTGCTGAATGATTTTTGAAAGTTTTCTAAAGATAATCTCTGGGATAAACTTTACCAAATAATTTCTAACCAGGAACACAAGGAACAACTGATGTGAGCCCCTTTTGTCCTTTTTGGAAAAGATTTGAGACAAGCAGGGGCAGGTGGTGGTAGGCTCAACTCCAAACAGTTGTGAGAGTTGTCATTAAGGTAGCAAAAGCCGTGCCCCCTAACCTCGCCCTAGCACACCCTCCCCAGTCCTCTCTGCCCAGGTGGCAGGGAGTGTGCCCTCTGCTGACCAGCACACCAGCGGCTCCAAGTCCCCAGTCTTTGGCATCAGTAGCCACCAGTCTGCAGCTCTGTGAACAGCAACTGCAGAGGAGCTTCCTACCTACGTAGAAGCCGTAGCCTGTGCACCATCAGTCCCTTTTAGGGAACTAAGGTTGATTTGATAGAACCAGTGCTGGCAAAGCTGTCCGAGGAAAACTGACCTTGTACCTAGACTTATCCAGGATCCAGCCTTGGAGGTGGTAAGGGAGGTCATTTTTGTGGCAGGCCAAGACCCTTGAGATGTTTTGAGAAAATCAAGTACAGGCCAGGTACAATGGCTCATGCCTGTAGTCCCAGCTACTCAGGAGGCTGAGGCAGGAGAATCGCTTGAACTCGGGAGGCGGAGGTTGCAGTGAGCCAAGATCACACCACTGCACTCCAGCCTGCGTGACAGAGAGAGACCCTGTCTCAAAAAAATAAATAAATAATTCAAGAAGAAAGGAATTAGACCAAAATGTATAGATACTACAGATGAAATCTTATGGAGAAATTTTCTTGGACTTACCTTCTTAGCTTCAGGACAGCAAATGAATAGAAGCTTGTAAAAGACCAAGCTGAGGTTTCTTAGAGAAACTCCAGCTGAACAAACTTAAAGAAGGCCCATGTGGTTAACATTCTTGCTGCACCTGTTTAAAGAACCAGGCCAAATCTAATAAGCCCATACTCATCTTGTCATCAAGAATTTTTGAGGCTTTTTTGTAATAGTGAGGAGACTATAAGAAAAAAACATGTGCTTAAATTGAAAATTATGTGTTGTCATTCTAGAGCACACCTGGGCTGTCTGATTCCAATTCTGTGGGAGCTGTTTTGCAGATCTATAACGTGTAGCTAACTGGCAGCAATACTAAATCATTCTTATCCATAGACATGCAAATGAATTCTGTCCAGTGGAAAAACAACCAAAAAAAAAAAAAAAAAAACCATCTGGCTCTATTTGCACAGTCATTTTAATATCCCTGATCTATAAATATGTCTGTCCTTGGGATTCTCCTTTCACCTGGTTGTAATACTTCACTGGTTTCCTCATGAATGAGTTAAATAAAGCCTTTAACTCATGTTTATTCTTATATCTATATGAGAGTCCTGATCTTATCTGTTTATGAAAATCATCTTTTCATGCCTATGTAAAACTAAATTATCATTTAATGGCTTCTCCTTGTCTTTGCCTTAGCCACAGAGGGCCTAGAGACTTTAAGACAAAGTGTCAGAGAATTCTGAAGCACTCCAGTTTGGCGACCTTCACAGCAACCTAGCACAGAAACTTTCTACAAGGTTTATGACAGCCCTGTTCAGAAGTCGTTTGGTGTTTTTTTCTGTTCTATTGACTGAGGTGTCCTGACACTTTTTTGGCAGACATTGTAATGTGCTGAGAAGTGGTATCAGGTATCCCATCATCAAAATAGAAATTTCAAAAGGCTGCCCTGAATAGCCCCTGAGGTTGTGCACCCCACTTTAGAAATGGCTAATATATCCTATTGTCAATGTGTAGATGATGGCATGATACTACCTTGCTAGAAGAATGCTGAGGATACTTGCCCATTTCAGAAAGAAACCCACATCTTTCACCACAGTATATGTCCTCCTGGGTCTTTATGGCTTGCTCGAATGTATGTAGGACCATTGGCATTATCAAAACAAGTATTCCTAACAGCAGAAAGTGAGACCTTTGCTTAGGACAGTAATAAACAAACCCAAAAGTTAATGCTACCTTCGGAACATGTCAAGTTTTTCAGTCATAAAGTCCCACGTCAGTAGCTGGAAAATCCATCACCAAGGTTAAGGGCATCCCCCAGAAAGCTGGAATAATTTTGACAATTTAAAAAACTTTGTTTAATTATTGCTCAGGGAAGAAACATCCACAAACATCTTTGTTTAGCAGAGGACTTCCATGACAGGTGAGTCAAAGTAAGTAAAAAGAACAAAACAAAACAAATTAAAAAGTTTTCCCACAAGTGTGTCGTTGTTAACAGTTTGATATACAACCTATCATGACTCAGTCCTTTGTTCCTGGATCACCTAATTTAGGACAAAGCTATTTTGAGCTGGGGAAAAAACATTTCTGGAAAATTGAGAAAATATAGTGTTGGTAGAGGAAGGCTCCTTTGCAGTACCTATTGTTTTCATGAGACAGATTTTTCCCCTAAACCCTCTGACCCTAGGTCTTAGGCCTCCCAAGTGAGTCTCCTGACTTGAGAGGGGAGGTGGGTGTGTGTGGCCCAGCCCTGTCCTCCTGACCTCTTTCTCTCGCTCTGGGAATCTTCCTATCTACAGCGCAATAGTGCTGATGGCTGCTTGACTCTGGTTTTTCAGGTCAGACTATAACTTGGCAAATCTGTCTGATCAGAGGAGTTCAGGATTGGGAAGTCTGCTGTTGCCCCGTACTTCTATCCCAACTTTATTAGGAAAAAGAGATGCCATTTATTGGGCCGTGTAACACCCCAATATTTATTATCAGTGTTTCTTTAGAAAATTGCCTGGGGGCTTTAGCTTCTGGAAGTCATGGTACAGGGAGTTACAGCGTCATCTGCA